TAAGAAATCCGTTATTTGAATGAATCATAGATTGACACATATTTTATAGAATGAAAAAAAAACAAAAACTTGATAAATAGTATGTAATTATATTTTATTCGAATAACATATTGTCTTTGTTTTGAGCATGTTTTTATTTTAGATAAATAACTACAGTTATGTGATTAAAAGATTAAAAGCATATAAATAGTATGGACTTATGAATCGTCTAAGAATCTATAAATAACTCAAAAACACATAGAAAATTAATATAATTTCAAAAATTTAAATAAGTTGTCAAATTAATTTTACTATTGTTTATATTATAATTGTTCACAAATTACCTAACAGATATTTTCTTACAACAAAATGTCATATTACTCAACTTTTGAATTTTAAATTTATTGTTAATAGTGTATAATTTAGTGGCTAACATAGCATATTAATATATTTACTTAGTTTTTAAATTTACAATATTTAACGTCTTATAAAACAATTTCTAATGGTGAACAAAAATTGCTTGAAAAAAAAAAAATAAATAAATATGTAATGGAAAAAGAAATATTTCTGTCGACGTAGGAAACCAAAATGTACAAAAGATTAAATCATATAAAATCCATACTATTCTATATTACTACTTAAAACCATCAGTAATCGTTATTTAAATAATTTTAGTAAAATTAGTAATTTCTCCAATTCGTAACATTTTCTCTTAATACCAGAATTAATTTTCCTTTCCGTATTGTTTAATGTTTCCGTAATGTTCAAAATATGTTTGAGTCATTATTTTATTTTATTAACTATTTTACTTTTGTTATGTCACGCATGCGCAGCACCGGGTGCCCACAACAAACGTTTTTGATAAAAAAAAAATTTCAATTGGACAAATAATTGATCTTTTTCTCCTTCGTGGTGTCAATAAAATGTACTTTGCTGCCGTCGTCGAGCGTACAGTATTTAATATTTATATTTATGTGCCGTCCACCGAGTTTTGTATAGTCGTATTCGACTTATAAAAAAACATAAGCTCACATTATAGTACGGGTGCACGCATACATATAATTATAGTGCACTATGTGATGACTATATATTGCCGCTTCGGTCGCATTTTTTTTTTTTTTTTTTAATAGCTGTGTGTCGAGTGCGCTGCGAAAGGCGTCGTCCTAACACGGAACACGCACAATATAACACTAATGTTATTACATTATATTGAATTAATGTTTCAGCAGTAGTCGTCTCGGACTTAGTCATTATTATCGGATTTCGGACGAGGACTTGGATAGTTGCGATGTTTTGACACGCATGTATTTGCGCACATACGGGGTCGCCAGGGGATGCTAAACACCCTCTAGTCATAAATTAACACCCTCAGTTTATTATGAACTAAAAATATTGTTTAAAGAGGATTATTTTGGCGTTTATGAGAATGATTTGATTTCAATTTTTATTGGTCACATTCTATTATATTTAATACACTTGCAATTATTTCAAAACAATAGATACAAAAATATCAGTTTACATAATAATGATACCGACGAAATATCGATTGGTTTCGTCCCGTCAACACTGTGGACATCGGCGTATCATGGTTCTCATATTACTTTTTTATAACACAAGCGCGATTTATTTTAGTCTTGTAAATTGTATTATTTTCAAATCAAAATATTTTGAATTGAGTAAGTGTAGGGGACCCCCTCCCTGGGTTACTTTGAAATGAATTGATTTAACACTCCCAAGTTTCGGACTAAATGTACGCCTCCAACGTAGGCTCATAATAATAACATAAAATATCAAATGATACAAATATGAAATATCGAATAGGAGCTGCTGCTTTATATTGTTCGCTTTAGAGCTGGTCCGCAGCGGAACAACGAGATGGACACGCGACTGCATTGCGTACAGATTCTCCCTTTTCATTTTATTTATTTTTTTTATCGCTCGCACGTATTATATAATTACATGTACCTAGTGCGTATACGTACACGCAGACAATATGTGCTGCATGTGTACGGACTTAATTTTTTTTTTCGAAATCTTTTTAATATGCGGTTTTCGCTCGTGCAGCCTTCTCCGCCTCCTCCGTTGACGTGTGCAGTGACGGGAGCTTAGCGTTGCATCACGCGCGCGCGTGCCGTCCGCGCACGTACCCCCGCCGTCGGGGCGTGATTTTCGCGGTAGCCGTAGTGTACGCGCACCCCTTGCATGTTCGCCCGGTCGATCTCCTGCCGCTGCACACTCGTGGGAGTGCAAAAGCGTTTAATGAAATCGTCAGGGGTGGCAGTGGCGAAATCACGACGACGACCAAGCCACCGGCGCCGATCGCCCCGCGGCCGCCAGCGTACACGTGCACGCGTTCGACGTGCACACTCGTCGTCGAGTCCACCTCACCACCGTGTGCACTCGACCGCGGGTTAGACTAATCCCTGTGCGTGTGTGTACACATAACGCCCCTTCATTACAATGTAATAATATTGCGCGATAATATGTCTGCAGCTCGAGCAGGGACCAGGTCTCTTGTAGTATGTTCCGGCTGGCTCATAGTTCTATCGGTCCTGCTGAAAATTATCTCCGGTCCCCACCATTCGCAATGTCATAATTACATGATAAATGCATCTGTGTGTTACATCGCTTACGTATATGGTAACAAGTGAAAGATTTCGACTCGTGGGCTTTTTTTTTTTCGAGGGACGAACAGCTTTAAGTTCTCCGTGTGCGATTTTTTTTTTTTACAACGAAAACTTGGAAATGTCTAAGCGTCTGTATTTTGATTTTTACTAGATATTTTTTAAATCGATTTTTCTCTTTAATCGCTGCACCTAGCAGATCATCCTTTTCGTTACCCGTAGACTGTTTTTAATAACCAACCAATAATAATGGATGTAAAAAAAAAATATATAATTCGGGTTGATTGACAAGAAAAAACCTACTTACCATACGAGCGGGGTTTTAATAAGACCGAGATACGGCCAAGCGATTACACTTATTGGGAGCAAATATCATAACGGCATTTCAAATTCGTGTATGAACGTAACAATGGCCTAATGACGAGAGAGATAAAATACGATAAGGCATTAATGTAATAATGCGTACAACTTGGCGTAGCTCTGTGGATTCGAGTGCCCGTGCCGCTATAATAATACGAACTGTGATAATGGTTTATCCCGTAATGGGACTTTAGATAATCGAGCGTACGGGAATGTGGGCCGTAACGGAGGGAACACGCGCAGAGGAGCTTAGCTTGCTTACAAGTGTGTGTATGTTTGTATAGGTGTATGTATGTGTATGTGTGTGTGTGTGTGTGTGTGTGTGTGTTCGTGTACGTGTGGGGAGGTTGAAGTTAAAAACGACGACTGCAATAAGAGGCCGCAAAGACAATAGAAGGGGAGAGATCGGCGACGCAGCCGAAACTTAACAAAAACAATTACGACACACCTAACTTGGACAGTTTTGAGGAAAACCGCAATTTCCTTAATCATTAGCATTTATAACCGTACAACCACGATACGGGGGGGTTCAAAGATATTTGCGAAAAGAAAAAAAATGATCCCTTTGTACTTTTTGCCGGAATATCATATTATTATTATTATTATTATTATTATTGCATTAAATTAATTATTCTATAAATATAATATGAATGCACTGAATAAACTGAACGCAATAAAATATAATTAACATACTAATAAATTGATACAATATAATAAGTGTTGTATTATCATCTAACACCTAATTTAATTTAATTATTATTATAAACATAAAATTAATATATTGTCAGCAAACGTACACATACGCATACACACACACCAACTTCACGAAATGCTGACCAGATAGATTGCAATAGAATAAAACGCCCCCCCTCCCGCGAGACGTGATGTTCGTTCGTTCTACTGCCATCGATGTGGATGACGGAACGCTGTCCGATTTACGATCGAAGTGATCGGTCATTCTTTTGTTTATTGTATTAATAAATATTTTTCGTTGTCTTAAATTAAAAGGTTTTAAATATAATTATAAAAGGTGTTCCTATTTAATAATTTTTCTACCTTGCATACTTGTGCGAGTATATGAGAAAGTTGGTACATTTACAAAAAAGGTATTAAAACTGTATTGTATTTCAAATCTCAATCCAGCGCTAGATCATATTCTTTGTCAGTTTGAGGGGAGAGTACAATATAGTTAGGTAAAAGTTACCTCACGCTCGAAACATCGAGTGCTAGATCTTATTCTTTGTCAGTTCTTTCGAGTGTAAAATAACTTTAGAGCTACTAAAGGAAAGTAAGCCTTTTAAAAAACTTGTTTTCGACTATCCTATTAAGCATTACTAGATCATATTCTTTGTCACTTAAGAAGGTAGTCGTCCGGGCCAATTATATGGTTTTTCTTTACGTGCTTGTTTGACGATTAGAGTGTTCAACAACCGACAAATACTTCTTATTGTGTTGCTATACGTCAAGCCTTTGCGTGGCGTATATGACATAAGTTAGCTACATCAAATTATGTATACCTAATTCTCATTGTATTATATATACCGTAGCGATTAACTTTGAGCTTATATAACATTACATTCAACTTGTAAAACTGTATGCTATTTTACCATAGAAATGTGGATCACATACATTTCTGTAAATCGTAATGCTCTCTTTATTTCTGCCATGATATCAAATTATATCATATTGTAATGTTAATTAATATTTCTTCATAATTACTTAACGAGCACCTATATTATAATAATATGTCGGTGCGATTCTTGACAATCCAAGGCAATTACGACACAAATTGACTTAAAATGATGAATATAAAGTTATATATATAACTATGTAACTGATAAATTAAATATTTTTTGATTGATTATTTGAACTATAATTATTATATTATATCGGCCAAAATTATATAAAATTTAAATTTATAAATACCTACGTTACTGTTATTTAAAACTATATTAATAAAAATAATTTAAAAACGTCAATATTGAAAACCTTACTTAAAATCAAGTGATTACGAATTTCCCAATAATATAAAAAAAAATGTCGCTGAAACACAACGAGGAATTCAAATATGCATTAAAAGATATAGCAAATAATTCTTTCAAATTAGAAAATGAGTTTGGTAATTATTTAATGATTCATTATCGGCTTAATGTTCGTTAATATACGAATAATAATAATTAATAAGCTAAATGAACTGTACTTTTTAGATAGAGTCCGTTGTACGGAATGGGTTCATAAGCTGGTTATGTTGTCCGACGATTCGTTAGAAAATATTAAAATTCGCAATGATTATGCTCAATACTTACGTATTATGATTAGAGCTGGTGTTTTGCATGGAATATTCTCAGACAGTCCTCCGACAATATTAGCACCCTTTCCTGAAGCTATGGTAAGAAAAAAATACATTTAATATTGTCTCAGTTTAAACAGTAGTCAATGAAAGTACGAATGATCAAACCTGTAAACTTTCAATTGAAACTTTATAAGCAGTGCTTGACTTGGCAAAATTAAAGAAGGGGGACTCTATTTACTTTAAAAAAAAGGATGTCCCCAAAACTGGCTGAGCGTTATGATTATAGCGTAATAATAGTAGGGGGACGCTAAAATTTCTGAAAATTAATTGGGGTACTCCGTCCCCCTGTGTCCCTCCTCAAGTCGAGCACTGTTTATATGGAAATATCTAGTGTTAAAAATATATTTTTATATTTAACATAAATTAAAATGTTTCTTACATTATAGGGAAAGTTAGTAGCATCAAAAATTAAAAGTTTACCGCCTATGGGGCCAATCAATGTGTATATGAAACACTGGTCTCCGGATGGAAGAGCTTATGTGGCAATAAAACCAATACCAGGAAAAGGAGTTTTGACCTATCTATCGGTCACTCCACAACCTGATGGACCACGTGAATAATTTGAGAATCGATAAAAATAAATTTTAATCGATTTTTTAGAATTGTTTTTGTTTTTCAGTAACAGATAATAAGTAAGATAATAATAAGGAATTTTAGTTTTCTTATTGCAGCTATACGACGAATAACGTAAATCAAAATTAATAAACATATTGAATTATTCTCACTTTATTAACTATAAAAAATTGTCCCATTTTTTTAAGAGTGAATTTTCAAACGAAAACGCCAAAATACTTTTGATTTATCGTTGTTATATGTATGTAATATTTAAATATCTATAATTTAACTACAATATAATAACATAACTCTGTAGTAAAGTCTAAAGAGCTAGGTTCAGAGCTTATTAACATACCATAATCCTTGACAATAGAAATATTAGGATATTATTGGTAATATTATTAATCAATTATAACTAATAAATAATACTAGTAGCTAAGTAAGAATCTGACAAATTATCAAATTACAATATAATATGCGTACTTGTACTTATATACCAATAATATAATGTTATAGTTAAAATAATTAAACTTTATTTTAATTTAAAGTAGAATAAACGATGAAATATTTGTTGTATAACTTGACTATATCTTGTAAATAACATTGTAAAATGTGAATAAAGTCATGGATTTCTTTTGGTATGTACCAAACGTTCATGCGTAGGCTCTGTAAAAAGCAGTCCTGAATTTGACATTTTTTCCAAGGGACAGGGGTGAATTTCAAACTTTACGTTTTGTACTCTTCTCCCCTATATACCGATGCATTATAATAGTGTGACTATTATATTATTCAAATTATATTCAATTTTTCGACGTGGTCTACTACTTCAAAACCACAAGGGGAAAACACGTATCTTCTATAATAAAACGGTGCTGTAACAATGTATTCGTTATTGTATGTTTAATTTAATCACTGTTAAATGTCAAATAACCATTGCCAACGGTGGAGACAATGGGGGGGGGATGTAATGAGTCTATAGCCCTCCCTTATAAGCTGAGTTTAGGTGTATTTACTAAACTAGTATACTAATATTTGGTACTAAATAAATGTTCATGAATAACTAGTGTTTGTCATTGCTAGTTTATATACCACGTATGTCGTAGTGATGCTGTTATCGCAGCTGACCACCGTTAATTTATTGTTATTATCATTTATATTAAAATAAATATTATTAAAAATATTTTAAAATGCTGTAAATAATTTTTTAAATTTGATGGTGGGGAAGAGCTTCAGATGAACTCTTAAAGAATTTCTTATTTAATCTGCCCAAAAAATTATTTAACCCTTTCCATCTAAAAATTCTGGCTACGCCACTGACCAGTGCTAAACCTATAACAAACGTCTGCTATAACTTTAAAACTAGTGTTTATGGGCACTAAAGCTTCTGGTGTGATTATAATTTGTGTAATGTTTGAGTCACCATCGAAAACATATATATTGAATGCCAAAAAACCGGAGATTTCAGAATTTTTATATGTCTACCATGTCATTGATGGGGTATTAATGAAATGGGTGATTATTTAAATAAGGATGCCACGTAGTGTTTGTATTTTATATAGTATATGTTTTTCATTTTCTAAAACTTGAATATCATGTCAAATTAAAAAATGTAGAACAAAATCAATTATTATGCAAAGCTTGGATGCTATTGATTTTAAGTAACAAGTCGTCGTATGATTTGCTATCCTATTTTAATTTTAAATAGATCTATGTACAATCATCAATTATTTCAATTCGTAGACATAATATTTTTATAGTTACGTTCACGACCGAAAACGTGCATTTTATTTTATTAATTATTAGTGTATATCATAATGAAGAAACTATTGATTTTATACGTTCAGCAATTCTGTTACGTCACGATCTCCTGTAAATAAATCATCCGTGTGTGTTCTCGTGAACCAAAACGGCTATGTCATGTAGTGTTTGGAAAATATTCAGTGAAAGTTGATTATAAAATGCTGTTTATATTAATTATTCCCGATCTCCTTTAACAAATTTGCCGATAATATATATATATATATATGTATAATAACATTACCAGTCGACCGTTTCGCTGAACTGGTGACCACTGTATAAGACTACAGTAAACCCATAAAAATATCTGTGTAGTACAACAATGATATATATATATATAAAAACGAATACAACACTGTAGTAAATTGGATATTACGAGTATATTTTATGATTAGATATTATTATCACTATAGTATATTATATATTAGGAGCCAAAAGTTTTTAATGCTAAACTTTGAGCTTCAAAGTTTTACCCAATAAGCTACCGCTAACACCGTGTACTAATATACATTACATCAGTGGCGTAGTGAAGGGGTTATATTTAATACATGTGATTCAAAAAAAAAAAAAAATGGGGATGGGTTGTCTTTGTAAAAAGGAAGCCGGGAAAATAATTATTTTGGTGAAATACCCATATACTGAACATGTTTTAATAATTGTAGAAAATATGAATTATAACTTATGTGTTATCAATATAAAAATGTATACTCGCAATGGATTTGTGCAATTTACAATAATAAATATTTTTAGTGAATGGATGGGTGATACTATAATATTGTCGATTCAAGTAAAAAAAAAAAAACTTATTTACTCATTACTAATTATTTTTCATACTATTCATTAAAAATTCTATAAAAAATTATAAATTATAGTTGTTTATTTTTATTTATCCATAAATGTATAGTTGTTCAAAAATTGGTTAGCTATTATTAGTTTTACAAGCACAATCAGTTATAAACTTGTACTCGTACTTGTAAAACGAATTACTATACTTTTATTCTAACTTAAAATACAAGTGAGTTGATCAAGTTACAATCAGTATTATATAATTATACATTGACATTCTACCTGGATGTAAATATTGGTTTCATATTTATGAGTTGTATTAAAAATATTGATAAGTTAGATTCTTTATTTAGTTATAATAGTATATAATACTGAATTTATTCATTTGTTCTTCAGAAAAGAGGTGAGAGGAAGGTGTTTGGCGATATCCTGGTAGTGGTAATTTTTTGATGTGGTGTTGAAAATGTAAACGTAGACCACTAGATTACATTTTTCACGGGCCGGTCAAATCATACCTATCCTTTCCTAATACGAAGAACTTCGCGTAAACGATTCTGATGGTTCGAGTAGAACCCGACCCGAAACCGGTCGGTCCGCCTTTGGTATTTGAGGATAGATCGCAAACCAGTAAAGTAGTCGTCCGCCGACTGTTGACGGTCGAATCGGAACCGTGATCATTCGTTTGCTCGAGTTTTTCAGGACAGAGGTGTACCACGGCCGCCACGTCTCGACGCAAGGAACACAAATCAACCCTGTTGTGGTGCCGGGTGCACACACGAACACACGATCGTACAGCACACACGGACGTGAACACGTTACGTCGGTTACGTTGGGGTCGCGTGGTTCCCGTCGCTGTTTTATCGAACGCTTCACACTTCATTAGACGCGCGCGCACTGACGTCCGCATGTCCCCATCCCGTCACGTACGGCATAATTGCGCTGCGAGTGCGCTCTCACACACAATGACCGCGTAATTAATCGGAATATTTTCTGTCCATTTGGCCCGCGAGTCCCGCGGGACATTTATCTCCACGTGCGCCGTGCGATATTTCTAAAACACCCGAGATGAATTCGTTTCGTCCGAGGTGTGCGCAGGGCCATACCAAGGGGGTTAAGTTAGGTGGCGATGGCGGTGGCCTTGAAGTATCACTCTTTGTTCCCTACCCGCGCTCAGTTCTTCGCCGAACGTGGAATTTTCTGGGGGAGAAACCCTACAACCCCCCATGTTGGTGCGCCGAAGAAAAACAACGGTGTATCGGCATACAAAACCGTCGCGGAAAAAACACGTAATCAAATATGTGCAATGTGTACACGGAAATAAGCAAGACGTCTGGTATCGAAATATAATTTCTGGAATTCCTTGCTTAAACAGTCGGTTTTCACGCTTTAATATACGTTTTCCACCTGATAGCACACTTACCTTTCCCTGGTTCGAGCGCTTGGAGTGTGCAGCAGCTTTAAAAACACTAGTACACTTTTCCCGGCAACCACCCTCCGTCCACGTTATAGCACCGATAACGTTTCGTTCAACGTATATCAACTCGAAACCGTCTACAACAATGTACACGGTGTACAGTTTACTACACGTTCTGATTCGCTTCCATCGCAGACTCCGTTTTCGATTTCCTTTCATAATACTTTCGGTATCAGTTAGTTAATTTTATGAAATTCTACCGGAGGCTGTGCCAGGATTTTTTTTTAGTTATTGCCCCAATAAGAGGCCGACAATCATAAGATTGGATCACAAAAAATGAGATTTCAGCAAAAAAAAAATAATAATAATAATTTATATGAGCTAATTGCTATATTTTAAAATGTTAAATCATCACAATACTTCGACAAGACTACTTTAAAACAACTCTGATTACGGAAAATAATTATATTGTTACGTCTAAGATCAGGCCACTGATGAGGTCAGGTATTTTAAGGCGGTATTGCTGAGTTGATTCACGAGACTTCATTTATGTGTTAGATGATTCCCGGGTTCATTTAAAGCAGGTATGAATTGATTCCGGAGTATGAACGAACAATTTCGGCCTATTAGCGTTACCCAGGAGTGGTACTAGGAAACGCGTGTAAAATTCTAGAATGTTCGACTGCAACAATTGCTGTCTAAAATCTATTGTCATAAACTCATAAACGATAAAATTCGATAAAATACTTGTTTTTTTTTTTTGTTACTTATATACAACAATATAATACTTAAGGCATTCAATTCTAACATCTTAATAGCTACGGAATCAATTCAACGGTATTGATGCAGGTAAACAAGTACCTGGGAATCACCTCAAACGCAGTATATACTTATATATTCTCAATACGAATTTTAAGGTGGGTCATGGTCATGACTTAGCCCGTCCCTGGCGCCGCCACTGCATTCAACGACTTAGAATACAAAACGGAAAACACACATTGAAGGTAG